TAACTCCATCTGTTGCCATCATAATTACAATAATAGTATGAATGATTCAGACGACTACTCCCTCACCTCCCAAGAGAAATCTAATGTCACAAAGTAGTTTCCCGACAGGAGCAGTAAATGTTGACAAAACAGCATTTCAGTTGGCACACTCAAAAGGCAAATTTAATTGGAACAGAATTACATTAAAAGACCAATCGTATCTGAATCATAGATATGATTAATTCCAGTAAAATTATCCGAGTTCTTGCACTTTGAAGAGTGTCCCTGTAGTCATATTATGGTAAGTCTGCTAACACTAATTTTATTGAAGGGAGTTGCTTTGCTTTAGCCTTTCTGCACAAAGAAAAGGCTCAGTATAGACCAAAGTGTGTATTTTGAACTGCACACTATTTTTCGAGAAGCCAGGTTTTTAGGGAACTTTTAACTATAAATATTTGGTTAAATTAAATATGAAAATAAGGTAAAGGTTTCCCCGACATTAGGTCTAGTCCTATCCGACTCTGGGGGATGGTGCTCATCTCCATTTCTAAACCGAAGAGCCAGAATCATCCGCAGATACCTCCAAGGTCAGGTGGCCAGCATGACTGCATAATTACCTTTGGAACCTATTGATCTACTCACATTTGCATGTTTTTGAACTGCTAAGTTGATGAAGCTGCGGCTAACAGTAGGAGCTCACCCTGCTCCCCAGATTCAAACCACCGACCTTTCAGTTAGCAAGTTCAACAGCTCAGCGGTTTAACCCACTGCACCATCAGGAAGCCCAAATATGAAAATACTTTGCTGTAATTGCACAATTCTACCTTATTGATTTGGTTGCATTCAGGTTATTGACTTATATACATGGTCTAACAATGGGTAAGCGGATCCAGACTCATTGGATCTCCTTTTTTTTACTGGAACTCTCTGGTCTGCTGTATAGGGAGAAAAGTGGGATATAAATTAGATGAAAAAATTAAATAAATTCCAGCTCAACCCTGGTGCTAAAGACATACTTTGAATTAAGAGTAAACCCAGAAACAAATTGAGTTTCCAGTCATTTACCACATTTTTTTAAAATTTCAGCAATAGAACTTAGGGTGGAGGAGCAAACATTTTTTAATTGGATTCCCACAAAAATACAAAAAAAATGAACCAGCAATTAAATACTTTGCGTTGTTGAATGCTTTCATGGACGGAATCACTGGGTTGCTGTGAGTTTTCCAGGCAGCATGGCTATGCTCCAGAAGCATTCTTTCCTGACGTTTCACCCACATCTATGGCAGGCATCCTCAGAGGTTGTGAGGTCTGTTGGAAACTAGACAAGTGAGGGTTATATATCTGTGGAATGTCCAGGGTAGGAGAAAGAACTCGTCTGCTGGAGGCAAGCATGAATATTGCAATTGGCCAGCTTTATTAGCATTGAATGGTATTGTAGCTTCAAAGCCTGGCTCTTTCCTGCCTGGTAGAATCCTTTGTTGGGAGGTGTTAGCTGATTCTGATTCTTTCATGTCAGGAATTCCCCCTTTTTGAGTGTGTCTTTATTTACTGTCCTGGTTTTAGAGGGTTTTTTAAATACTGGTAGCCAGATTTTGTTCATTGGTTTTCTCCTTTCTGTTGAAATTGTCCACATGCTTGTGAATTTCAGTGGCTTCTCAGTGTAGCCTGACATGGCAGTTGTTAGAGTGGTCCAGCATTTCAGTGTTCTCAGATAATATGCTGTGTCCAAGTTGGTTCATCAGGTGCTCTGCTATGGCTGACTTTTCTGGTTGTAGTAGTCTGAGGTGCCTTTCATGTTCCTTGATTTGTGTTTGGGCAATGCTGCGTTTGGTGGTCCCTATGTATACTTCTCCACAGCTGCATGATATACAATAGACTCCTGCAGAATTTGCTGAATTAAATACTTTTCCTAACACAAGCCATAAGCATCATAAGCATAGGTTTTTGTCATGTTCATTCATGGAAAATACATCTGTTAAGGGTTTTACTACACGTTTTCTTTGTAAATGACATAATAATAGGCACTGTTGATCATGTCATTGGTCATCACATACTAAAGGAACAGTAGAAAGAGGTTTTACTCCTTTACAACTTGCTGGCTTGATTATTTTTGCTGCCTTGAAAGCATCTGTCCAGAGTGTCAAAAGTTTGGGCATAACCATTATGTGTGCAAATGCAAGCCATTTTGTTGATTAAATGTTAGCATTGCTTTAAAAATTGCTGATCCACACACATTATGCAAATACTGAACTAATAAGATGCCAATCTAGACCTTGGCCATGGCCAATACAGTACAGAGTCTGTACAGTGTAATATGGGGAAAAGACTTATCTAAGATTTTAGAAGTGACAGAGAAATATGAACTCTTTGTGTTCAAATTAATACCACACCAGTGAACTAAGGAAACATTCATAATATTATGAAACAGCTTTTAGAATTCTAGTTATTTTCCATCTTCTCTCAACAGTGCTTCACCTCTGATTATACATCTGCGCATGTAAGAGTACACACATGCACACACCCTCCCCCATCCCCAAATATTAAACAGTGAAAATTGGCCCTTTTTATCTGTTCTACAAACTAAAGGGTCACATATGGGTGTTTTGGCTTTTATTTATTGTGCATGTGGCAGGGCTCAGACTGCATTGTAGTAAGTGGTCTGTGGTTTGCTCTTCAACACACTCACATGTTGTGGACTCCACTTTGAAGCCCCATATCTTAAGGTTAGCTCTGTGTCTCATGGTGCCAGAGTGCAGAGTGCGCCTTCCAGGTCACCCAATCTTCTCTGTGCCCAGGAGGGATTTTCTCATTTGGTATCAGCCACTGATTGAGGTTCCAGGTTTTAACCTGCCACTTTTGGACTTTCGCTTGCTGAGGTGTTCCTGCGAGTATCTCTGCAGCTGTGAACTATAATTAATTTTAATGCAATACTTTCTGTACTTTAAAAAGACTGTTATTTCCAACTAGGCATAAGAGCTGAAAGGTTTGGGGCAGGCATCCTCAAACTACATCCCTCCAGATGTTTGGGCTTGCAATTCCCAGGATTCCTGACTATTGAGCATTTTTGGCTGGGGCTTCTGGGAGTTGAAGGCTCAAACAGCTGGAGGGTCACAGTTTTAAGATGCCCCACCTAGGGGTTCCTATTCCCTGCTTTACCTATTATGGCAGTGGTTCTCAACCTGTGGGTTCCCAGGTGTTTTGGCCTACAACTCCCAGAAATCCCAGCCAGTTTGCCAGCTGTTTGGATTTCTGGGAGTTGAAGGCCAAAACATCTGGGGACCCACAGGTTGAGAACCACTGTATTATGGCGTCCTCTGGAACATCAACATTCAGACCATCCTAATTCTGCTCCTAACAATTAAAATACAAGATGGTGAATGCTCACATGGAAAACATTAACCCAGTCCTATAAATTAGAGAAGTAGCTATCCTGGAAAAGCTGATTATTCCTTATTATCAATTAACATAAGGAACAAGTAGCTGCTGGTACAAAGTAGAGTAGGTGGATGAATAACATACATAATGAGAAATTCAAGAGTCATTACCAGAGAACTGAATGGGTGATTTACAGAGGAAGCTATATGCTCAGTTCATCCCTTGAGTGTCCTGCACACAAGCATTAAAATAGGAAAGCGCTAGCAAATGCATGACTAGTTCAAATCTCTATAAATACCAACAGGCTCTTGAAATACTGGGAAAATTGCCTTCTGCAGAATTCAAGGAAGCCAGAGGAACACAGCAACCTGCTTTATAAAGACTGAAACCATTGCTCCCTCTACCTCAGTACTCTTTTCACTGACTGGAATGACTTCTTCAGGTTTTTTTTTTTAGAAAGGGGTCCTTTTCATTCCTTCCTAGAGGTGAAGCATTATCTTTTGAACTAATAATATTATGAAGCCAGTTCTGATAGGTCTTTCAGGATAGCTTATTCATTTACTTCTGTGGAAGATTGCCAGTCGTCTATGTCAGTGGTTCTCAACCTGTGGATCCCCAGATGTTTTGGCCTTCAACGCCCAGAAATCCTATAGCTGGTAAACTGACTAGCTTTTCTGGGAGTTGTAGGCCAAAACACCTGGGAACCCTCAGGTTGAAAACCACTGGTCTATGTGATCGTTTCAAGAAAACGTAATGGGAAGACACCAATTTTTGTGGGTCTTACTCTCTTCTTTTCCTGAAGTACAAAATTGGCCATCTAGCTTCTGTTTAAAAACCTACAAAGAAAGATGCCACCACACTTTGAGGAAATATATTCCAGTGGAAATTCTCAAATGTTTAGAGGAGTTCTCTTTACCTGTAGTTTAATCCATTGCTCTGTGTCCTTTTTTCTGAAGGAGTAGAAAACCAACCAGCTCAATCTTCAATAGGACATTTTTAAAGGATTTAAACATGGCTATCATGTAACATCCCTTCTTCAGGTTAAATACACTCAGCTACCTAAGTCAAAAAGGTTTCCACACCTTTTATATTTTGGCCAGCCTCTTCTGGACATGTTCCAGCTTGTCAATATCCTTCTTGAATTGTAGTGGACAGAAGAAGCACAGCATTCCAGATAATGTTTGACCAAAAGAAGAAACAAATGGTACTATTGACCTAGACACTATACTCCTATTGATGCGTCCTAGAATCGCATTCGCTTTTGAAACTGCTGCATCACATGTTGACTCATGTTCAACTTGTGGTCTACTAAGGCTCCTAGATTGCCTTCACATGTACAGTTGTTAAGCAATGGAAGGCCAACAGTATCCACACTATTTATCTCCAATCATATCAGAAAATGGGAGGGTGCTCCATGATCCCTGTTTGGAAAGGAAGCAGCAAGGAAACTCCCAGATCTGGATGCCATAGCAGAGTAGTTGTGACATCCAAATATTATTCCCCATTCCTGTTCCATTGTATGTATGATCTATCATGTGCGTATTTTCCTCAAGTAACATAACATGTATACCATTGGTGGAGCAGAAAGAAATGCAACCCCAGACAGATATTATTCCCAGCCACAGAAACAACACATCTGGACCAAATTCCTTAGAACAATTTTTTATACAACATTCCAAAAATATTTTTTACACAATGGGAAAAATTATAAGCCTTTTTAAAAATAAAATGTTGGAAGAATCATATGCTATATCAATGTGATGTGCACAATGCCCTTAAAGATACAAATAATATAATTGGTAGTCCTACAAAGCATTATTCCACCACAGCCACAATGTGTTTTTTCCTCTCTGGTACAAGTGGTACAGATCCAGGCTTGCTGTGTTTCTGGCGATTCAGTTCCCTAGAATGAGAAACATCAACATTTAGATTGTTTAAAGAATGGTTTTATCATTTACACATTAAAGGGACAAAGTGCTGAGGCTGTTTTACTGCACTGCTTCCAAATGATCCCACAAGAAGCGGAAAATTCTTGTTTGTACTGCCTTTTCAGTGTGAGATGCTTTGAGTCTCAACCCTGAGAGATTATGTCCAAGTTCATAATCAGGGACAGAAATTCAGAAACACAACCTCCAAGTAAAATAAGAGCTGAATGTGAAAAATAAATTCAGTTTTCCCATATGTTTTTCTCAGAATATTCTGTATATCTGGACTATGGAAATACTTACTGTTCTTTTTCCCCTAGCCCTTTGAACACAAGAAATCATTGTCACCAATCTGGCCTGCATTTTCTACCTTAATGACTCAGGCAATCCAAATGAATTCAGCAAATCATTACAGAATCAAGCCTGGAAAGGACTCAATGTGTTACCAGAAGAATATTAAAATAATAAAGATTCTTTAAGAAATCACTGTAGAAATGTCTCAGGAGCTTGTTCCACTGCTGAAGTTAACAATTTTTCACTAAATCAGGGTCAAACACAGCCAAGTGCCAATATCACTTTGCTCTGACACTTGGATGGTTGCACCAGTTTTCCAGCCCCATTTCCAGATGAAAAAGTGCTAGTGATGGCAAGGAGAGCAGCTTGTCATTCTTCTCCCAGCAGCCACTGGATGAAGAGAAGACAAGGAAGCACCTCCATCTTTCTAATGAAGGAGATACCAGTTTTTTCTGCATGTTTTCCTTGCTTTAAAAAAAAATGCTTATCCAAATTGCTGTTGCCACTATCTCTCCCCCCCCCCCCCATCTTCTTCTCTGTCTCCTAGAGCTACTAAAGGGAGGAAGGCACAGACTAAAGGAGAAGAGGCAAAAAAAAAAAAACAAGTAGAGGATGCAGCAGGAAGGGGCTGTGATTTGCGACTCTAATCTGTTAACAAATTCTGATGATCAAAAAACCATGGCTGGGGGAAGCGAGAAGCACTGGAAGGCAGAAAACTGGGAACCCATGGGCTGCATGATTCCATTCCTCCTACATTTATTCAGAAATTACTTTGGCTGACTGAAAGCATGGCTGAACACAGCATTCAGGTTATGGCAAAAAAAAATATAGCAAACCGTACTTTCGTCGACGAGCTTCTCTCATGATCCGCTGTTCCTTGGCCTGACTGTAAATGTTCTTTGGCAAGTGACGATGGCGACTTATTCGTTTGATCTGGGGATGGTGCTGGAATTTTTCTTTCAATTTTCGATTATAGTTCATAGCTGCTTGCTCTCGAGGAACAATCTGGAAAAAATAGATCCTGACCTTAAAACTGTGTAAAGTATTAACAACAATATATCCCATAAGGCAAATCATTAGCAAGATCCTGGAGGAAGTAGAAGATCAGTGGCTAACAAATTATGTAAATCCATACAGCATAACTATAAAAAAAAATCACCAATAATAATCACCTCCCAGAAATTAGATATTACACCCAGTCTCCAGAAGCTGGATTATTTGGGATGAGAGGTAAGAGGGCAATGAAGGAAAAAGATGGGGACAAATTCACAGAGACTTTAAGTAACTCTTCCATTAGAAACAGTCATTTGAGGTAACAGACATGTAATATTGAGCAAACTTGAGCATTGCGCCCCCTAATTGTAGAATAAAGATGGGAAATGCTATACAGATTTAGTAAATGACATTATGAAATGACCTTTTAAAGATGCAAGTACCTTTGTTGTATCGTATTTTTCACACAAATACTTAAAACAGCAACCTATAACTATTGTAGGAATTTTACATAATGACTGTTTTGCTTGTCTTCTGCCAACCAAGGGAAATACATCAAATATACATATATTAGCATCACCCCCTTTTTACTTTGGATTTTTCACTAAGTGCCTGAAGCAACATCTCAATTCTTATACATTGGATCATACTCACTCAGCAATCCATAAATAGTGTTCCACTCAAAGAAAAGCCATGAAAAACTGTGGAAACACCCCAAAAGCACTTATACGCACCCTAAATAGTGTATTTTCATCAGGAATAGACATAACCACATTCCGGTTACTATTCTAAAGATAACAAGATATATTTTGGATTGCTGTGAGTTTTCCGGGCTGTATGGCCATGTTCCAGAAATATTTTGCAAAACTGAGAAAGGGGGTTAACCTGCATGAATGGGTTGGGGAGAAATTTCCCGCTGACCCCCACCTGACTTAAAGGAAGGGAAAATACTTATTGATTCTTCTTCCCCATCAAAAATGACCCAATGAAATTGTGGGTCCTCTGAAAAGTTATTATGAAGCTACAGGAAAAACACATAAAACACTTAAAATATTACCTCCATTTAACTGGCTGTTAAGAAAAGCACATTTGGATCCAATTCTATACAGATAAATCACCACATTCAAGCTTGGCACAAGAAAGTTTGTGTTTATATTTTAGGACAGTCTGCAGTACTTTCAAATGGCTAGTAGCATCTTATTTTTCATTATGCTGTTCTTTTAAAACTGAATAACTCTAGTTTTAAAGACAGTGATGTCGTCACCCCACTTCTGAAATCAAGTATGTTCATCTTTTCATTAGGCGAATATACATATTATTTTCCCCCTCAATACTCTGAAATTTATTTTTGTAGAAAGTACTTCAATAAATTATATTTTTTTCAGAAATCACAATTAAAAATATGGGGGCAATCTGAATGTATCCATATCTAATGATCTCAATATGATAAAAGAATGGGGAAATATCGGAGAGCTAGAAATGTCAATATTAAACATCTAGATGCTCAATTAGGGTTGTCTCAGCTCTGAAACAGAATAGATTCATGTTTTTCACCATTATTTGAAATTTACAGGAAAGAAATACAGTTAAAAGAAAATATTTTTCCTTATTCGTATTATCAAATTATCCCATAACGAGTTGTTTAGTCAGCAATGCATTCCAGACATTCTTGTTGAGCACATTGTCAATGTATCTAAATTAAAAGGCTTTCACTTTAATTAAAGGCAATTACATTTAGAATGGTAGCTGACACAACCTTTCTCCTGCAGACAAAAACAGTACAGTAGGCTTCCAGAGACATCAATTTTAAATTATTTCAGAATCAAAGCTGCATATTCAGACAAAGGCTGCAATGGGAACACTTTGCATTCTTTATTGAGACTCACAGTACCTATAGGATGCTTAATCTGTAGTAACAGAAAATAACACTATAGCAAGCAAGGCATATTCTTCAGAGCCACAGTGCAGCGGGTTGCCCCTGTGTGGAACAAAGGCTAGATGTTGGTCAGGACCAAAGGCAGGGATAATGCATTTTTCATGATTCTATGGCCACTCCTGCCTACATATACTATTATTGTATATACTTGAGTATAAGCCGACTCGAATATAAGCCGAGGCACCTAATTTTACCATAAAAACTGGGAAAACTTATTGGCTCAAGTATAAACTGAGGGTGGGAAATGCAGCAGCTACTGGTAAATTTCAAAATAAAATTATATTAATTGAGGCAACAGTAGGTTAAATGTTTTTAAATATTTACATAAAACTGTAATTTAAGATGAGACTATCCAACTTCGATCATTATTTTAACCTTCTTCAATCTAAATGTGCTTATGTATCCTTCCTATAATCACTATAGTTTATTTTAACTATACATTTTGGGGAAAATGCTGTGTATATGAATGAATAAGGAAAAGTGGGAAAGATTGCCCCCAAGAGAGGAGAGGAAGGCACATGCTGTGCAAGAGAGGAGGAAAGAAGGTGTGCACTGAGCAAGAGAGGAGGAGAGGAAGAAGAGCTGGGTTGCTGTGCAGAGAGCTGAGGGGTCCTGGCAGGAAGGCATTGGACTGAAAGAAGCCCTTCTTTTAGCCTCACACCTTCCTGCCAGAACCCTCATTTGAGAATAAGCAAAGGGGGGCTTTTTCAGACTAAAAATGGGGCTGAAAAACTAGGATTATACTCGAATATATACAGTACTTCATGACAGGGACATAAAATTCAGTCGATAATCATATACGACATCAATTATCACCAGTTTCCTTAGGTAGTCTCAATGGCACCATTTATTTACGGAAAAGAGGTACCTGGATGCTCAGATAAACCTGAAGGTTTGCAGGATTGCAAAAATATTGAGGAAAGAAGAATTGTGAGTTTGAAAGAGTCCCTAAGGCAGCTCTATGATGACTGAGCACTCTCAGTAGACATGGAATGATGACACTATTGATGATGGGGGTTTACAAAAAAAGTAATTAATTGGGTAGGGGGCTATGGAATAGGGTGTTCTGAAACTCTGAACCATAGAGGCCCATACTGAAACATATTTTTAAGTCCTACTTTAAAATCCTCATTATCTATTGCTATAATAAAGTTCTTCAGAGCATTAGTAAATGCTAATAATAACAGCCAATTAACATTGTCCTGAAGTTTCACCTTATATGCAAAACCACTACATCACTGTAGCATTTTCTTTGTAAATATGAATATCTAAGATTACAAGACTGCACACTGAAGTCATTATTAAGAATACCACAGTATATATTTAAAACGTATATGTTATGTAATGAATTTTAACGTTATGTTGTGGCAAGTTTTCCAATAAAAAAACACCTTTATAAAATTTGCATTGCATAAACACAGCCAAATAAAATTTGTTTTAGAAAGCAGCAGATTATCAATACGAGCCAAGGTATTCCTGAAATCGTTACAATGAGATTTAACATTTATCTTTGCAATGGTTATCCAAAATATCATAGGCTTAATCATCAGTGGAGTGTAGACAGGGTAAATGCCTCTGGCTCTTGCAGAGATGCTGTTCTTGCTTGAGTGTTCCACTGATTTTACGTAATGAGTGCAATGCCAAAAACATTAAAGAAGCAGAGGAAACATGAATGTCAGAACTAATGAATATTTGGGCAGCCCCAGTGTCAAAGTACAGCCTACCAGTCAAACAAGCATTCATCAACTATGAAAGCCACAAACTAAACAGCGTGTTTAGGTATAATCCAAAATGTCAAGCAAAATGCTTCAGTATGTGCCCGCCACAGAATACTGTAATGAGAGATAGTCACTAAAAGCATTTCGTACTGATAATTCTTTAAAACTGTCTTCAGGACACTTTCTATTTTAGAGACTCTTGCATGCATATATATCTTTCATGCAATCACTAGCAACCACTCTCAAAGCACAGAGTTGACGGGAACTCTGACTGAGAAACCCTACTCTAGAAGCAGTCTCAAGCTAAATAGTAGAACTTAATAACTATGTCTAATGCTTAGTTATATACCTAATCATGCAAAACTTTCATGAGGACCAATGGAACACAAAATTGTTAGATATACTTGTCAATATTTATTCAATATATTAAATCAGTGGGTTATTCTTGTTCCACACATCTACACACAAACATGCAGCAGCTCAATTCATGAGATGAAAGTAGGGTGGGACCTCCAGACAGAAAAAGAATGGATAAAATACATGATCTGTACAAAGGTATATGAGTCATGCATTGTATTTATGGTTGCACCCTTCCTACTGAGTCAAGATTGGAAACCATGGCATGTAACAGGATCTAAGCAATGCCACCCTATCTATAATTAAAATAATCTCTGCAGCCCATATACTTGTATCTATGGATTTTGATATCTACTAAAACTCCAAAAGATCCCATTGTACATGTGCTCTGACCCCAGAGAAGAGCAGCATCCAAATATACCTTCATCTTATTTGGGACCAGCTACTGCTGAGAACTATCATCCCTCCAGTTCAGTGGTTCTCAACCTTCCTAATGCCGCGACCCCTTAATACAGTTTTTCATGTTATGGTGACCCCCAACCATCAAATTATTTTTGTTGCTACTTCATAATTGTAATTTTGCTACTGTTATGAATTGTAATGTAAATATCACAACATAATGGTTGCAGATGTGTATCATATTCACACACGTATTTCAAATGAGGGTTAATATTTTTACATTGATTACTCTTTTCTGCTTTTCAATATTTAACTATTTTTCTTTAAAAACATAAAATTAAGATTTACTTACAACACCCAGCTTTTCAGAAGCATTTGCTTTCCACAAACGAATGTTCATTTCATCAGAGCCACACAAAATATACTTGTTGTCAGACGTCCATTTGACCGTTATCACATGCTGCATTCGCTTTGTATGATAGACCTCTCTAAAATAAGTCAAGATTGGCATAAACACCAAGTCAGAACATTTATATTAGAATTTTCTTCCATTTTAATCATTACAGCAGATAATAGTTTGTTAAACATAGATACTTCAACTTGACGACCTGTTGACATGACCCATGGGTAATCATAATAATTAGTCAATAGTCCGGGCTAAATTTTATGTTTCCACAAACCAAGTCAGTTTTGCAGTTGATAATATCAGATACAGATCCTGAACTTGATATAGATCTGGTTTAGTTAGGCACTTGGTCAACTAATAGTTTTCTTTAGTTGTGACTAACAGAGTGCCACACCCAGTTAGGACTATTACTCAAAAAATGACACAATTCAACCTAAGACCACAGTATGGTCTTAGAAGATCAGTGGACTTAATGGAATGGTTTCTATTAGCTGGATATGCTTTTTGTAAGCTAGTTAACTTGGGCTTTCATTAATTGGCTCATATCACATTAGAGGTTGACTGAGTAAGCTGCCTGTTTGTTCACACTTGCAATAAAATTTATTACACAGAAGGGTATTAAAGGAGAAGTCCTTACGTCACAAAACAGTAATTGTTTTGGATTAAATTAAACACTTTAAATATATATATTTAGACATAAATACTGGTATAGTCTTAGTATATTTTTTCCATAGCTATTCCGTAGTTACTTAACAACGCAGTATATTTTTAAAGTGCATTCTTTTGTTTGTACTTGTACTTGTACCATAATGTATAATGCTATCTTTATTCAACTCTATGGTTTAACAATAAATAATCTACACATACTGTATAATAATAATAATAATAATAATAATAATAAATGTATAATGTATATTTGCTTATTTGCTCCTGGGTGGGCAATTATAAAAAGCTAAGACATTCACACCATGTCTGGAGTAGCAGACAGCATTAAAAAAACCTTTTTTACCCTCACTAATTACTGAGGGGCGCCAAACGTGGCAAAAGTTTCTTTCACATTGCTTTTACATGAGACATTTTATAGTGTGGAACAATTTTGGCAAAAAAAAAAAACGTTTTGAACCCCCATAGGGCCACAAAACCCCAGGAGCCAAATGGGCACTGTGCACATCTCTGACTTACATGGAGACTTTTTTCTTATGCACTTAAGCTTGTCTAACTCAGTGGTTCCCAACCCGTGGGCCATGAGACCTAAAATAAGGTCCGAAGCTCTAGATTATTAAATATGGTTTTCTGTGGGCAAGCAGATGGCAACTACTGGATGGCATATGCTCTGTATCAGAAACTAGAGCTGATGTGGTCTATCCAATGCAATTTTCTGAATCAGCACCGCAAATAACCAAACCAAATCTAAAGTTGACCAAAGCTGATTTGCAACCCTTTTGGTACTAATGTTGGAGAATGGTCCCCGATCAAAGTGGTCCCTGGCCAAAAAAAGGTTGAGAACCTTTGGTCTAACTGAAGAAAATTGTATACCAAAATTAAGCTCATAACAATGAATAAAATACAGAATCCCTCCTCTTGTGTTATCCATATTACAGATATTTTTATGTTCCCTGTTTGATTTTTTGTAAATTGACATCTTCTCCCAATGGCAGCCATTTTGCGATGGCACCTAGTGATATAGTTTTAAATATGTCCATCAAGTTAAAAACTAGACCATTGCCACTCACAGTTAACATTAAAATGTATGTCTGCAATGATTTCACACTTGCTTAAAAAGAAAAAAATAATTTGCTGTTGCCAAACAATTTCAACCTATTCTTCTAAAATGAACTTGAAAATAAAATAATTGTGCAGACATTTGGATAATGCTTCTTTCTTTCATTCTTTCAATTTCTGTTTAAACTAGTATCTTTGGCTCTTCTAACAGGTATTGAAAGAGTCACTGTTTGAGGAGAATTAAAATACAATAGCACATGGGTGAATAACTTGGTTCTTTCATTTAATCACACAAACATCTGGTCTACTTGCCAGAGGCTCTTAACAAACTTAATAAACGGAGCGCCTCTTCTTTCTTCTGGCGTCTCACGTTTCACATTCAGGATTTTATTAGGAGCACAGAATAAGCAATGACTTCCAAATCCTTAAGACTATGATGGAAACCAATTTGATTAAACTAATTAACTTTAGAGGTCTGGTTTTCGGTACTTATGTGCTAGCCACAGGGCAAATATATGTATTACTTATAGGATAGGCTCATGTTTTCAAAGTGATATGTCAAACAGGCCTAGGGAAATCACGAAATTTTGAACTGGCAAGAGGTTAAGATTATGTTTTTAATGGAATTTTAATTACAGTCAGCTTTCAATATTTGCAGGTTCGGCTTTTTCAGATCTAATTATTCACGGATTTGATGGAAATGTTCTCTCTAGGAATCTCTAGGACCTTCAGCACAACACTTATAGTTACATTTCTCAAGAAAGTGGGGTTTTTTTTAATCCAATAGAACACCTCTCACAGAATCTCTAGATTCTCCAGTGTGATTTTTTTGTTAGCTTCTGTGCAGAAGTCATTGTTATTATGTTTGTGTTTAACTGTTAGAGTATGTATTTGTGTTTGTAACAGTAGCTAAAACTGGAGTCATCTGGTTTGAATCCACAGTGAGCGTTGCCAAGGAGACGAGGCTGGCTAGCTCATGAGAGGGAGAAGTGGGCGGAGCCAAGCAGGAAAAGTTATGTGCGTTTTAAAAAAGCAAGAGAGAGGCTTGGAAAGGCCTGAGAGAGAGGCTTGTGTGTGAGCGGCTGGTGTTTTTTCAGTCTAGGAGGGCTGAAGAAAGAAACCTGGCCAGATTCTTTAGTCAAAGAAGACTAAAGGAAGCCTAGTTAAGATCCCTAGTTAAGGAAGGACTAGAGATCAGAGATTTGATCGAGGGAAGATCAAATTGAAAGGCTATTTATAGTAGTGAAACATTGTTCACTAGAGCTTCACCTCAGTAAAAGTTAGCCACAAGCTGTGTTATCTGGAAGAGTGGACGGTATTACAAACCAAGTGATATTCAAAGTTCCGTAAGTTATTTAACAGCCTGCAACCATAAGCTTTGTACACAATAAACTTGTTATCTTTTGTTGAAAACCGTCTCATCTCAACTAATCTGCGTCTGTAGAGCCAGATCTCATCGGTGGTACCTCAAATACCTCACGTTGGTGGCAGTTACCTTAATTTACAAATAATAATTGGCCTCCTCCATAATATACTCTTCTACACAATTGAGGCCTGAGGTAAATTCCCTCCATAACATCCACATCTGTACAATTGGTGGCAGCGGTGAGATTAAAAAGTGCCTGAGATAGAATACCTCCATTATTAGGGCCTGCCGTTGCCAACCTCAGCAACACACAAGCACCTCCTCGCAATTTGTGATAGCGGTGAGGATCTTCAAAGATAAAATCCCTATACCCTGTCCATCGTTGTGTTCACATCTTCCCAGCTTCCAGTAGCAATTTTTTTATTTGAGGTTTTTTACTGCGACTGACTGTAATTTAATGTAGTTTCCAATTTTCGCTACAACTCTTAAAAGCATATTATACCTTAAACCCTAATTATGCGTAAGAGGACCATGGTTGTTGTGTGCCTTCAAGACTTACAACAACCCTAAGACAAACCTATCATGAGATTTTCTTGGCAAGATTTCTTCAGAGGGCGTATGTTATCCCCTTCGTCTCAGCTTGTTTAACATTTACACAAATGATTAGCCTTTGCCAGAAGGGACAGAGAGAGTTTCATCTATGCTGATGATTGTGCCATTACCGCTCAAGCAGGGAGCTTTGAAATGGTTGAACAGAAGCTCTCTGAAGCTTTAGGTGCTCTTACTGCCTATTACAGAGAAAACCATCTGATTCCTTATCCATCTAAAACACAGACATGTGCTTTTCATCTTAAGAACAGACAAACATCTTGAGCTCTGAGGATTACCTGGGAAGGAATCCCACTGGAGCATTGCAGCACACCAAAATACCTGGGAGGCACTCTGGATAGTGCTCTGACTTATAAGAAGCACTGCTTGAATATCAAGCAAAAAGTGAGTGCTAGAAATAAAATTGTATGAAAGCTGTCTGGCACAACCTGGGGATCACAACCAGACACAGTGAAGACATCTACCCTTGCGCTTTGCTGAAGTACTTCTCTGGTTTCTGTCCAAAAAGAAGCATGTGCTAATATTAGAGATACTGACTGAGCAAAGCAAAGTATTTTAGTAAATTGTACACTACAATATAAACTCTTAAGAAAAAGTGAAAAACCCAACTATCCAACTTCAAACCGAACAACTGATTATTTTTTTAAAATGCAAGTTGCATGCTGGAGAAAGAACTTGTATCTTTCAAGGGTATCAACGTGTTTAACAAGTTAATGAGAACATTAAGACTGGTGGCAAGGGGAAGGGGGTCTCAAGAAAGGATTAACTGTAAAATCACTGACCTGCTACGACCTTTGTCTACAGGAAAAATGCGAATAGATTTATCAAAGCTGGCAGACACAAATTCTTTCCCAGTAGGGGAGTAATCCACATCAAGGACTGCAGATACATGGTCCATATGAATCATTAAAGGCTTGTCAAGAAATCGCATGTCAAAAGAATACAGGCTGAAAATGAAATAAAGGCATTACATTTAATTTAACAAAGGTATAACCATTTTAGACAAATCCTTATATAATTAAATGTATTTTCATATTGCTGATATTTTAAAAAATCAATTAACTTTAAAAAACATTTTTCTCATCATAACAATTAAAAAGCAACTACTATAGTTGCTTTTTAAATAGTATCCTAAGTTCATTAATTTTGGAAAAAAACTTTCCAAACACTCATTAGCTCCAATAATGCATCAGTACATTAACACCATAGACTCTCCATTAACTGGAATTCAAGCAACCAGAACTCTCAAGCACCAGGCAAAAAATAGCTATTTTTATAATACAGCAAAACAGTAAAACTCTGTAATACTAAGTTAAACTTGTCTTTATTTGCTTTTAATTACTGTATTTTAATATTAATATTAAGTCAATGCAGAGTTTATGGTATGATATAGTCAGGGTTATAGTATTAGTTAAAAACTACATGTATCTGGTATCCATGGATGCTGGTTAACTAAGAGTCTACTGAATATACTTTACTTATGAGTGGCATACATGAAATTAAGCCGATCTATAGTTTCATAATTTTTGAAAGCTCTATTTATTCAGCATATTTAAATGTCAGTCCAGGCTAATTTTATTTCATGTACTTTTGATATAAATGAAAGCTGACCAATCTGATCACCTTACAGAAATTTGTTTCTGGTGTTACTGCTTTTTTAAATAATATGTTTTGCAATGATGATGTATATTTAATTTTTTATGACAATGCACTGTTAACCACTGTCAAGATCCACACAAGAAAAGTTGGGAAAAATACTGTACATTAAATATTTATTAAACTAAATAAAGTGGTTCTTTGAATTCCATTTCAGTTTAAATATGTCAACTTTAGACAACAGAGAGACAATGCTTACTTATAGTCCTCATTTGCTGCAGTGAAAATAAATGCTTCCATGGGATTCCAGCAAAGTGTATTTGTTCTCATGTCCAAAATAACCTAAGGAAATTTTAATTCAACAGAACATCAAGTTAAGGAAAATATATTACAGTTTTTAAAAATCCAGATATATAATGCAGGCACACACAGCAACAGTATGACTCTTAGAGAAGAATCTCAAAACCAACACTGTCCTGAAATGGTCACCTTCTATTAACTGTTAAAAGTGTTGGCAGCCACTATATTGACTTTGCTTTCCTGTTCTGTTTTGCTGTATTGAAATCTAGTGTGATCTTCTAAATCTAGTCTCACATTGGCCTGCATAAGCTCTACCTCCTTGAAAAGAGTAACTGTTTTTTCTATAATTATTTTCTTCTAATAATTGTAGGACACAACTTTTTTCCCCCTACTCTCCACCAACATCTTCTCTAAGGCTTTTTCTCTAAATAGGAATTGTCCTCCATGGGGCATGTACCCTAAATTTGACCTAGATTATTTTTTATCTGCCTCCAATGTCAGAGCTGCACGGATTTCCTGGCTACTATGATAGCTGTAATGCTGCTAGCTGCAAACACAGCTGAATCATGCCCTGCTTCTGCTAAAAATTGCAAGTCTTTCTGAATTCGTTCTATCGTCTTGTGTAAGGATCTGAAATTGATGTCCTAAAATTATTCTGTCCATAGCATGGCTGCTCTAGCAAACATAGATGCAGCAATTGTTGAATGTATGACTAAAGCCAAGCCTTCGTAAGCCTGTTTTAATGCTTCCTTTGGTCTATGCACATCCATATCCCTAAGGGCTATATATCCTCCTCTAGGGACTAATGCGAGAAAAATCAGTGCTGAAATTGGACTATCCCCTGGGGTGGGCTTTCGGATAATCCATATCCTTCTTTAATAAGAGCTTTTGGCTGTACTCTTTCTGTTCAGTGGCACCTCCCTCTGCAAATTATGAACAATTTAATCATATCCAGAAGTGGGATTTCTACCTCTACTGAAGCTTTTATTTTTTAAAAAACACCGATACCATTCTGATTCCAGCATCCTTCTGCTCACTTTCTAGTTAAATATCATTCTCATTGGCATGTAATCCTAAAATCTGAAGAACTTCTTAAAACATGTCTACGAGTCCATATCAAACAATCTGCTAGACGTATTATTTTTCCACATATCATTTTTCCGAAGCCTTTCTTTCACTGTTTATTCTGCCTCTTTCATATCCTAGTAAGTCCCCCTCCCCATTTGAGTCTGACTCCGTTGTTTAAAATGTTTAAATTGTTCATTACAACTGCTCCCTAAACTTTGTGACATTATTTTCTTCCCACTTTCTGTGGTTTCTTGGTGACATGTTTGCTCATCTTCTGTTTGCTTTGAGTTTGTTGCTTTGTGAATTGACTCCTTGGCCACTGTCATCTGTATTTATGAATGTATTGGTAACTGACTTCAATCTGTTTGCATTGAACAATTCACCATTAATTAAATTCATTCTGTTTGAATCAAGACTTTGAATCATATCCATTACATGTATTTTTAAAAAACAAATTACATGAATTGAGCTATTTAAATTCACTATAGTTTGGGTGTTAAAATATTACCCAAATCATAATATTGTTCACTGGTTCTTTAATTCCTAATTTAGAGCTACTCTAATTTCATCCATCTGATGAATGTGATTGAATCCATGAATCTCAATTTGTTGCTGTTGAATTCTCTAGAAAAAAAATAGCCTTTAAATAGTTTAAGAAGGAAGGTTGCCTTTTCATGCTGCTCCAGAACTCCATCACTTCTCTCTAGCATTGTTTCTTTTTTACTGTTTGCGTTGGTAATGTCAATCAATTTTTCATTTGCATGAAGCCTCCTTTTGGTGTTCTGGTTGCTTAGGAACACAGCGCCATTTAGCTTTCTCCACCATTAAATCTGTAGCCCCTGGCCTTGACCAAGCAGGTTACTCAGATTTCTTTATTTTAAGCTTTGTTTGCATTTTCTTTATAATCTGTAAAGATGTTATGGTCTGGTTCTGTTTTTGTTGGTGTTTTTTAGTTGTTTTAGGGGCTTTAATACAAAACGATCCAAATCACTGTCACTTGGTGAATTTTTTTTAATACAGCTTTTTACTACCCTCAGAGACTCACTATTTTGTGGTCATCTAAGTTGGATAATTTAATTTGTTTTCCCAGATCAAAATTTGTTGGAGCTGTTTATTTCCTTGACCCTTGCATTGTGCTTTTTCTTTTCTATTGGAAAAGATGTGTGGATACCACCAGAGTCCTTACTGGATGTTTTCATTTTATTCTGTAAATTGTCCTTTTTATTTTCTAATCTTTTCCTGACTAATTAAAAGATATTTGATCAAATGGAGAACACATATTGCTGGTTAGGCAGGAAATTGAAATCCAATGTGAAGGGAGAAGCAGTCAACAGTTTAAGCAAAAAAGGACTTTGGACTCCTATATCACCTGCAAACATATGCAAAACAAGCCACCAGTACATGGACTGAGACTCTGTGCCATTCAGAGAATGTGAGGTTCAAGTAAAATAGGAAGTATATCTCCTAAAGAACTCTTCCTTTCTGTGCTCAAGGTATTATTCTACAAAGTTACAAAGTCTGGGATGTAAAAGATAAACTTTCTAATAAAACGGAACACTTCTCACTCAATGGTGCTAATGCAGTTTCAATAATAATTTATAGCCTTTAACCTCTAAAGTCCTAAAAGCTTCTGTACCAGCTTACCTGTCCAAATGTATCCCCCTATGAACTAGCTCGAGTGTTAAGATCTGCCAGGGAGGCCCTGCTCTCGGTCCCACCTCCTTCTTAGGCACGACTGATGGGGATGAGAGACAGGGCCTTCTCCATGGTGGCCACTCGGATATGGAACTCCCTCCCCAGAGTTATTAGATTGGCCTCCTCCCTCCTGGCTTTCAGGAAAAAAGTCAAGACCTGGCTGTGGAACTAGGCATTCAGGAAGTAGCATAACCACAGTGCAATATACATTTATGGAATCTACATAAACAAAGCAGCATGGACAACAATTGCAGGATTAGGTGCTATGTTTTAACAGTTTTAATTGTATTTATATGTTTTATTTGATTTTAATGCTCAATGTGTTGCATTTGTATATTTTGTATTGTAATGTGGCACTGAATTATTGAAAAACTGTAAGCCGCTCTGAGTCCCCTTGGGGTGAGATAGAGCAGGGTGGAAATATAGTAAATAAATGAATAAATTCAGTAATAATTCAATAATGATTTCCATCCTTTAATCTGTCACCACTCATGACTAGTATTTACTGCAGTATCCTCAAAATAATGGAGATTTGGAAGATGTTTCTCTGATTTAGGATAGACCTATATACAGGACAGATATTGTAAAATATGCTAATTGTTTTAATGTAGGGCCTGGAACATACTGGCAGCAAAGTGTCTGGCTGCTCAGGAATTCTGTAACAGGACTTGAAAAAAGCCAGATGGCATTGGAAAGAGGCTGCCTTGATCCTACTGCTGAAGGGATAAAACTGACAACTTACTCTTACTTGACAGAAGGCTGATTAGTTGAAAAGTATTATGCAGTCCATATGTTATATGATCCAAGCTGAAAGAGAACTTCAGCAAGACCAGTGACAGCTGGGAGGTATTGTAAGCCAAGGAGAAAAGCCTGTCACCCTCAGTCAGTGAATACTTTTCACCTTTACTGAACCTTGAAGAGCCCTCTAATTTCCCATTGTACATGACAACTATTTGAACACAATGATCTTGTACTACTATTTGGCAACAGCACCAATCACATCACTAACTAATGAAACAAAATGTTAATTGCACAGTATGATCTGGCTGTTTTTATGCATTACTAACAAAAAAAATAATTTTTAAGAACCCTAAAAACTCTAGATTTTTGTTTTTTGTCTGCCTGCAGACAAGATTTTTCTGCAACCCGAGGATCTAAGCAGGAAATAATTCAGGACATTAATTAAATAGATGCGTCATTGTGCATTTAATTATATATTTTTATATTTCATACTGTATCCAAAATATCTGTACTTGCTAGAGTCTAGTGCATGCATGGGCAAACTTGGGTCCTCCAGGTGTTTTGGACTTCAACTCTCACAATTCCTAACAGCCAGTAGGCTGTTAGAAATTGTGGGAGTTGGAGTCCAAAACACCTGGGGGTTCAAAGTTTGTCCACGCTTGCTCCTGTGTCTAGTATGCCATCAAAATTTGATGTGTACATTTTAAAAAAGGTTTGATGGAAGACAATGTCAGTTCTCCTGCCTTTAGAAAATACTGAGAGATGAAACACAAATGGCTTGGGGAGGGACACCGCTGCTCCACCATCAAGCTGAGGCTGGCAAGTTTGCTAGCCTCAGCTAGACGGAGAGACACAGGCACCTTTTGCTGCATGATTCTAATGCGCCACTGAGTGTAATGCTCATCGCCATTTTGGCTAAACAATTAAGCCAAAAAAGATGTGCATTACATTTGAGTAACTATGGTACATCTCATTTCTGATATCCCACTCTGATTCTTGGCATAATCTCAAACACAGTTGACTTCCTATGTTATATATACCCTGTAGAAGTCTAGATTACTACAAACACGAAGAAACATTTTGAACAGTATTCCTCATATAGTAAAAAAAAAATAAAAATGTGTTTGTGCATGGATTCTCAAGTACACACGTTTTCGCCCACAAGCTTTTACAGAACATATATTACCTTTTTCAATGCAGTTGATTGCCTCATATCATACAGTACAATATTCCTGTCTGAAGCACAGCTTCCCAAAAGATACATCTGAAAAAAGAAAGTTGTATAAATATAATTATTTGGTAAACATCTGATGACCGAAACCACCGAGCAAAATTCCAGGTGCTAAATGAAATAATAAATAATGGGCACTGAATCTGTTTTAACAAGCATATTTTTAACAGTCCAATTTTCAAAGATACGCAAATGCAAAATATCAGCTGTGTTCTTTAATCTTCAATTCCTTTTTCCATTGAAGTAATGCTGAAGAATTAAATTCATTACTTTTCTTAGTTTCCAGGTTTTTGTAATCTGAGCATGAATGGCAAGCAATGACAGAGAAACATTTATTTTATTCCTTATAATATAATAATAATAACTTTATTTTTATACCCCATCAACCATCTCCCCTAGAGGACTCGGGGCAGCTTACAAGGGACATGCCCAGGATTACAATTAAAACACAACATGTAAAACACTTTTACCAATTAAGGCATCATTTTAACCAATTAAAACATCAATTGTGTACACGAGATACAATACATGTACCAACCACATGTATTCCTTAAGGTTAATAACTCCATCACAATGTGCTTTCATGTTTTTTCTGACATATGACAACCATAAGGTGGTCCCTTTGTGGAATTTTCCTGGCAAGATTCAATCAGAGGAGATTTGCCTTTCTCTGAATTTGAGTGACTGTAGCCTGCCCAAGATCACACAGTGGGTTTCCATGGCTGAGTGGTGATTCCAACATTGGCCTCCAGACTCGTAGCCTACCACACTGGCTCATGTACACAAAAATCATACTGCAAAATTATTTTAATGTATAATAAAGCTTCATTATTATTTTATTATTATAACATTAAAACATATTTTATTTCATAATACACATTTCCTTTGAATTCCCCTGCCAATTTGTCTTTTCCACGTTAGACTTTCCAACATCCCTTTTCTATAAACACCTTTTATATGACCATCATGTTGTTGGTACCAAAATATTTAATCACAACAGTTCTAATGGAACATATAAACAAATTATTACCTCAATTGGATTGAATTTAACACTGCTGATGCTATCAACTCCCCAGGTCAAAGAACACAAAGGACTGGTTCTCTGTTCATCCCAAATATCAACTTGATGGCCACATGTCGCAAAAACAGGATCCTTCCAGTGGTGGTCAATTCCAGTGTACACCGTCTTCAAAATGCAAATGAAAAACATTAACAATTTGTTTTCTACTAAGAGGTTTCTTTCTGTCACCACAAAGTCACATGCCAACAAACACACCAACTGAGCAGTCTGGGTGTGAAAGCAAAGAGCAAGGAAAGGTCTGGGACAGCCTTATCTCTCCCAGATAATTCCAGAATTTGTCTGCCAGGATCCACAAGATGTCAGAGACATGAACAGTAACCTAGGTGAGAAAGTCCCTTCTCTGAAGTGATTCTTGACATCCCAACTGTCTGTTTTGATGGTATATCAAATATAAGATCCTCCCAGGAGTTTACAGAATAAGCCTCCTAAATACAATCTAAAAAGGGACTTTATTTCCCTTTACCTCCCACTATAAGTGTAAAGGTTTCCCCTTGACATTCAGTCCACTCGTGTCCGACTCTGGGGGGTGGTGCTCATCTCCGTTTCTAAGCCGAAGAGCCGGCATCATCTGTAGACATCTCCAAGGTCATGTGGGCGGCATGACTGCATGGAGCGCCATCACCTTCCCGCTGAAGTGGTACTTATTGATCTACTCACATTCACATGTTTTTAAACTGCTAGGTTGGCAGAAGCTCCCCGGATTCAAACAAGTTCAGCAGCTCAGCTGTTTAACCGGCTGCGCCACCAGGGGCTCATACCTCCCACTATAGGCCTTCATTAAATGTTACAGCGCTGCAAAGGACTATCTACTGGAGCAGATTTTTAACATGCTAAAGTGGGAAGAAAGGAGGGAGAGGCATTCACCAATGTGAGTGGGATCAGACAGCATCTATCAATGAATTGTGGCTATAAGTATTTTTTAAATAAAAAAGCAACCTTCATTCTACATAAAGCATCTCAAAACCACAAAAACTGTGGGCAGAACATGTATATGCTATTTTGCTAAATAAATTTGCAATTTTGTAAGTACCTAGATCGAAAAGATGCAGATACATAAGAAGAATATAGAGTGTAATACAGTTGAATGAACATGCTTTTAAAAGCTAGTCACTTTGTTGAAATCAATCTCCAAAATTGTAATTACAAAATAGGATACTCTTGTTTTGCCAAAATAAACCCTTGGAGACATCAAAATATGAACTGTCAAATCTATCTGATTCAGATTTCAGACACCAGCTATGTAACTAACTAATATTAATAAAACACTCCCAACCTAATAAGGTTAAATCAATAGGAAACTGACGTAAATATGATTCAGTGTAAGCAAATGCCAAGCGATATATGTTTGATTGCAAAAAGTCAATTTCAGTTATATATTGAAGTAATCTGAGCTGACAGCAAATGGTTAAGAAAGGAATGTTTTGTTTGTGGCCAGTAGCCTGATGCAATATCAGTCTAGTTTACATCTGCTGTAAAAAAGGGCCCAATTTCATAATTTGGAATATGGTCATAATTTTAAAAAGGAATTTGAAAGATGCTGAAATGAAGTGGCTAAAATAACAGTGGTCATTCCCTACTCCTGATCTCTCTATAGGTGACCAGAACAAAAGTAATAAATACAGTAGAAACAAAACCCCAAGGGATATTAGCATTTTAGTAAGTGGGATCTGAACCCAATATGAGCTCTACCTAGAACAGCCCAGCAGGCTGTATTAGTTTTATTTTGCTCCTTTGATTTCATCCAGTCAATTCTAAATAGGTTAACACTGGATTTAGCCCTGAAATTCTAAAGAATAGATGTAATTTAGACTAGCCTTAAAATTCATTTTGTAGTAGCCAATAGCTGTGGATAACTTAACCTAACAGTTTTTAGTACCTCTAGAAAGTTTTATTCCCAAGTTATCTCACTTTTCTATTTATATTCACAAGTCCCATTATTTGCATCGCTCCCTTTTGGTCTCTTTTTATATTTAAGCAAATTACATCTAATTTTTCCTTACAGTTTTAAAGCTTGGAAGCAAAGCATAGAAAACAAACACTGCAAAACAGAAAATGAAAGATAGTAATGTGTCATGAAGTTATAACATTCTTGCAAATGATTCAAAACTCTTTTTATGTAGATTTGGAACCAGCAGTTTACTCTCTTTATACTTCTTTAGCTTGTCAACTGTATTAATAGTTTTATTACAATAGCAAATAGTAATTGTTACAAGTACCCTCTACTCCACCAACTATAGTCCAGGTTCAAAGACATTTTGTACTTCAGATCATATCCAAGTAATATAATACTTGTGTATCGTGTAAAATGTACATAGGTTTTTTTTAAGCAATACATAACATACCTTTCCAAGAATCGTGTTTATTGGTTCCTCTGCTTCCCCAGAAGCTGGTCCTTCCATTTTCCACTGCTTCACTGTTTTATCATCACCAACCTAATTATTGTGGAGGCAACAGAGGAAAAGTTCACTTTAACAGCTAAAAAATAAACTACTCAATTACAAGGATCTTTATCTTGATATTTAAATATTGATAATAGACTTAAATCCAATTAAAATGTGTTTCCCCTGACATTAAGTCTACTCGTGTCTGACTCTGGGGAGTGGTGCTCATCTCCATTTCTAAGCCAAAGAATCGGTGTTGTCTGTAGACACCTCCAAGGTCAAGTGGCCAACATGACTGCATGGAATGCCGTTACCTTCCCGCAGAAGCGGTGCCTATTGATCTACTCACATTTATATGTTTTCAAATTGCTAGGTTGGCAGAAGCAGGCCTAACAGCAGGAGCTCGCCCCACTCCCTGAATTCGAACTACCAACTTTTTGGTCAGCAAATTCAGCAGCTCAGCAGTTAAACCCGCTAAGCCACCAGGGGACTCTTAACGGGTCCAATTACTAGTCCCAATTAGTGTAGACTCAGTAAATCAGTGGGATTCAAATAATTGTTGGTTTACTATTCAGCAACTGATTCAATGAGTCTACTCAAGTTGGGACTAGCAACTGAATTTGGGCTACAACTATTGAGGAGTCTTCAAATTACTGCAATCCCTATTTTTCATAAAATGAGACCTATTTATTGTTCTATTTTGTGTTTAGGTAGTCCTTGTATACCTTTTATGCAATTGAACTATGAAAACAAGTGCATTTCTGTGAGTAACAAAGTAGAAATTGAAGAAAATATACAATGATAAATTATGCTGACTATTTAGCTGTACCAGTGTCACAACATTCTCTTTGGCTGAAATAGTATACACTCTCACTAGAAATCATACAAATTCTCAAATGCCTATGCAAATGAATTTAACTGGGCAACACAATTATTTTTAAAATAGATTATTTTTATTAGTCTCACAAAATTCAGCAGTCATATTTACCAAAAAAGTAGAAGGAAATAATTTGTGAATAATTAAAAGAAGAGAATACTTTGTGCTTTTCCTGCATGGCAGGGGGTTGGACTAGATGGTCCATGTGATCTCTCTGCTATTCTATGATTCTATGAGGGCTTACTGAACCTGTTTTGGAATCTCAAAGGAATGAAGCAGGCCCTTGCTAAGCAGGAGGCTCTCACAAGATTGGCATATCTCTCAGCTTGCTCCATGCTTCCAGAAGAAAGAACAAGTATGAAAAACAAAAAATTCTTACTGTCCAAAAAATAAACTGCAATATTAAATGAATCATAAAATAAAAATAATTAATTTTATTATTTAGATAAAATTTGCAATGGAAAGGATAAATAAAAAGCAAATTTGACAAGTATTCAAACATCTCTTCTTCATTCTATTACACTTACAGTGAAGAAAGAGGTACCACAAAAGCGGGTACACATTCCTCTCACAAAACCCTCATGTGCTTGTAATGTACGAATGCAGACGCGGTTCATCAAGTTCCAGATTCTAACCTGTTGAAACAGACACTAAAATTGTTTTATCTAGTACTAATTCAGAATAAACATTTCTTGCAACGAACAGTTGACATCTTTTTAAAATATAGGCAACAGTAACATAATTCACCTTAGTATTTTAAAAATGTAGTTTCTTTTACTGTGTCTAGCAACATACAGTAAGTAGGTACTACTCTTGCAAACTGGATTAAGATCTAGCAAATATATGAAAATGGAATTTATTTGCTGCTCAAGGATTAATCTGACAGAGCTTCATTTGGCTGTTTCATTTTTCAGAACTGGTACAGTATTATAATTTGAATTTTGAACTTCTGCAATTCACGCGTCTTGGGGTGAAATTGGATGACTTCCTCAATAAGAAACTTTGATACCCAGGATGAAAATAATTCCCATTAACAACTGATCACATGCACATCATTCTTATAGTACAATTCTATGTCTGCTCAAAGAGATGTTTCATTAGAATTCAATAGCACTTCCAAATAAGCATAATATCTATAGACATTTTCTATAGCTATAGGAGCAAAAACCACCCATTTATAGTTAACCAATCTCTATACTTCCTAAAGTCACAGTTTTGCTTTCTACACTTCTCCTCGAAATATTGTTTTGCAAAGGAAAAGATGCATCTATGGAGCAGCAAGAGTAACAGTTTTGGCAACCTTGAATCCAAGATGGCCTGCCTTCACTTTTAAATATCTTTTTGCCCACCAAATCTAAGTATTAAAACTAAGACTGGAATCCAGGTGGTGCAATCTACTACTCTAATAGTCTACTATGCTAGCATACTCCACCTTCTCCACATTTGGATGATAGAAGGCAGGTGGCCACCAGATGAAGAAGCAGGAGGTGAGCTCTTCTTGGGGGGAGTCCTGATTCTTGGAGTGTGCTAGAAAGATGAATGTTTGTTTGTCTCTTGTTGTTTAAAGGCTGGATGCTTGTTTATAAGCTGGTGTGTTTGTTTTTAAGGCTTTATGGTTGTTCTGGTATCCAGTGTGCTAATACCTGTGCTTGAGGTGGTGTGTTTGAAGGGGGGTGAAGCTTGGGCTATGTGTTTGAGGAACTGAGCTTGAGCTAGGTCACCTGGCCTTTCTGGGGTGGAGCAAGTAGCAAAGAGCCAGTGGCACAGGCCAAGTGGAACACGCAGTACAAACAACAGTCATCTCACAAACAGAGAGGAGTTAAGTGTTTTGAGAGGAGGGACCAGAGTTCTGTAAAATGTCCTGCTTGGTAACCTAAGTCACCAGGATGGGAGAGGTGTTGTAATCACGTGCAGGGGCTGTGGGATGCTTATCCTCTTACCAGAATACCTGGTAAGCTACATCTGCAGCAAGTACAAACAGATTGCTTCAATGGATGGGAAGATCCATCAACTGGAAACCTGACTTGCTGCACATAAGGACATTAGGGAACTCAAGTTCTTCTTGGACACAGCCCAGCAACCATTCCAGATGCACAATGTATATCGGATGAACGTGCAGAGTATGGCTATGCGGATGTCATTTCAAATGTGGAGATCGCTGATGCTTGGAGGAATATCACTTAGAAAGAGGAGGAAGAGCACTATTCTGTGAATCTGGAGTTAAACAATCAATTCAAAGTTTTCTACTCTGTAACGGATTATGAGGAAGTAGAGCATGTTGTGGAGAATTACAGCTTCTTAGATAAAATTGAGTGTGCTGTCCTTGATGAATATCATGTATAACAAGACCACACTGGAGAGGATGAAGGGATGTTGGACATATCTGACTGAACTGTTCTTGATTAATTCATGAGGAGAAGGCCAGTTTAGAGCTAGAATCCAGTCAAAACTGAAGAGGAACAGGAACAAAAGCAACAAGGTCAGGTCTTAGGAGACCTGTCAGTCACCACAGGAGATGTGTGCTAATATAGGGGACTCCCTCTTGAGAGGAATAGAAGCTGTGATTTGCAAACCTGAACAGATGTCTCAAGAAGTACACTGTCTCCCTGGGGTAAAAATCCACCATGTAACTGACCAGCCAATGAGACACATTAAGCCCACTGACCACCACACTTTCCTGTTGGTTCATACAGGAACCAAAAATACTGCAAGGCAGTCTTCAAAAGATCAGAAAGGATTTTGAAGCTTTCAGAAGAAAGCTAAAAGATCATTAATATACAGGTTGTATTTTCAGTTCTCCCAACTGCACGACGTGGCACAGCTCTATGATTCTAAGCAGTGGTCACAGGAGTAGGAAACTCCTAGTTCTTCATTAGCCTGCCTTCAGTGATGGGGAAGGGCACTCTTTGGAGTTAAAAACACTCAGTGAGAAATGGTTTGAGAATTTGCCTATCATGTTGGCACAGGAAATGTTCTAAAATGCACATGACAGAAAACTCTAAAAACCATAAAAAATGAGCCACTTTAAAATGGCAGCTGCTTCCTTCCATGCTTGTGACAACTGATTTTTTCATCTTTTCTTCATCAAGTCACACTCACACCCTCTTCCACAGCACTGGAACTACCAGTGTTGCCCATGACTCAACAGCTATAATTGGGTTGACAGCAGAGTGCAGTCCTGTTAACTTGTCTAGGTGGAGACATGACTGAAATACAATAACATTTTGCTTTCATAACATTAGGCATCATCACTCATAGTATATAATGGTCTGATTCTTTCCACCAATTTTTAAACAATCATCCTTATACTTACTTCTCCATCACATGCTCCTGACAAAATGGTAGACAAGCTCTCTGGATGCTTAGCAATGCAATTGATGCCATCCCTATGGCCATCTAAGGATGCAACAAAGGGCTTTGCAAATACACGATCCAATTTTGTGGCATTTAGAGCTCGTGTATATTCCCGTGCAACCTCAAATGGATGTAATGCAGGATCATAATTCCGGGGAACTATAGTAAGAAAAATAATAATGAGATGCAGAAAAGGAAAAAAATATTGTTCTACAACTTTTCTTATATTTTCAAATAAGTCATTAATAATATGGAACAGTATGCTATTCAAGCAGAACAGAATGAGATAGTTACTCTATAGTGAAATTCTATACTTGAATTTAAATTCTTAGTACTTCAATTATGCTGCAGAAAACCAGGCATGATACTCGGTATGGTGTCTCTTGGAACAAAGATTAAGACTGCAGGAAGATTTCAGACACAATCTGTTTACTGTTTCAGGTAATTTTTGGGTTTCATGTTCAGAATCACTGAGTTGTTGTAAGTTTTTCGGGCTGTATGGCCATGTTCCAGAAGCATTCTCTCCTGACATTTTGCTTGCATCTATGGCAGGCATCCTCATAAGTCGCTTCTGGTTGCTTCTGGGGTGAGAGAATCAGCCGTCTATGAAGACGTTGCCCAGGAGACGCCCGGATCACAACCAGGCACAGTGAAGACATCTGCCCTTGTGCTATGCTACTCTGCTGCTGAGTATGCATGCCCAATGTGGAACACATCTCACCACACTAAAACAGTGGATGTGCCTCTTAATGAGACATGCCACATTATCACGGGTGTCTGTGCCCTACACCACTGGAGAAATTACATTGTTCAGCCGGTATTGCACTACCTGACATCTGTCGGGAAGTAGCAACCAATAGTGAAAGGACCAAGGCAGTGACATCTCCAGCTCATCCCGTTTGGGTATCAGCCAGCATGTCAACAACTTAAATCAAGAAATAGTTTTCTAAGATCTACAGAGACACTCGCTGGAACGCATCAGCAAGCAAGAGTCCAAAAGTGGCAGGCTCAAACCCAGAACCTCAACCAATGGCTGATACCAGATGAGAGACTCCCCCCTGGGCACACAGAAGACTGGGCGACTTGGAAGGCGCTGAACAGACTGCGCTCTGGCACCACGAGATGCAGAGCCAATCTTAAGAAATGAGGCCACAAAGTGGAATCCACGACATGCGAGTGTGGAGAAGAGCAAACCACTGACCACCTGCTGCAATGCAACCTGAGCCCTGCCACATGCACAATGGAGGACCTCCAGTGGCCAGATACTGGTCAAAGGACATTTAATCAACTACCAAGCTTGCAAACTTTGTGCTTTGTTTGTTTGTTAAAAAATGCAACGCAACTGTTTGGTCTGCTCCTGACACGATAAATAAATAAAATCTTTAGAATAAGGATCAATAGCTTCATACATTTCCTGCCTGGAAAGGTTGCCCTGCTGTGTGGTATTCTGGAATTGTGGGAGTTGCAGTCCAAAACACCTGGAGGGCCCAAGTTGGGTTCCAAAAGGAATCATACTCACCTCCAACAAATGCTACGTTCAGCAAAGGACAAGAGGGATCCTCTCACCTCTGCAGGAGTCTACCGTATACCATGCAGCTGTGGACAAGTCTACATAGGGACCACCAAACGCAGCATTGCCCAACACACATCAAGGAACATGAAAGGCACTGCAGACTACTTCAACCAGAGAAGTCAGCCATAGCAGAGCACCTGATGAACCAGCCTGGACACAGCATATTATTTGAGAACACAGAAATGCTGGACCACTCTCACAACCACCATGTCAGACTACACAGAGAAGCCATTGAAATCCACAAGCATGTGGACAATTTCAACAGAAAGGAGGAAACCATGAAAATGAACAAAATCTGGCTACCAGTATTAAAAAAACTCTAAAATTACAACAGCAAAACAGCAGAGAGGAAACAACCAGGCACATCTTAACACCTCTCAACAGAACATTTTCCCAGGCTCCGCCAGGCCTTCAAATGCTAATGAAGGTGGTCAGTTGAAACATTCACACCTAGCTCCAGCAGAGAAGAGTCTTTTGCCCCACCCTGGTCATTCCACAGATATATAAACCCTTTTTCCTAGTTTCAACAGACCTCACTACCTCTGAGGATGCTTGCCATAGATGCAGGCGAAACGTCAGGAGAAAATGCCTCTAGAACATGGCCCTATAGCCCGACAATACATCATACTCACCTCGCTGCAGGTCCTCCTTAGTCTCCCGCACATAATCGTCCGGGTTCCGGCTCAGTACCTTCACCTTCATGCTCCCTCTGCTCCTCTCAGCTGTTTCCTCAAGTGAACCACATGGATGGGGAAACAGGAGGAAGGGAACGAAACAACTTCCGGGTCAAAGAACTAGGTAAAGTTGGCTGAAGGAACGGAAGGAAGCCGGCAGTATAAGGACCTATCAGAACACTAAGCCCCGCCCTCAAAGAGGCACGGCAAAGGATGCTGAAACGTGATTGGAGGAGTCGGGCATGAGTGACAACTCATCCCTGCCTATAGGAGGGGAACGGGGCGAGGCTAAGAAGCCACGCGACTGGGGCCTTCCCGGCTTCTTCTCTCTCTCTCCCATGGACTCCGCCGCTGTTCCGGGCCCTCAAAGGCGCTGTTCCGGCCCGGCTTCCCCTCCTCCTTCTCCTCCTCCTGCTGCTCCTCCTTCTCAAGCCCCTCAGGAGCGGTCCCCCTTCAGGCACGTGCGCTACGAGAACCTGGTGGCCGGCCTCAGCGGCGGCGTCCTCTCCACTCTCGTGCTGCACCCGCTCGACTTGGTGAAGATCCGCTTCGCAGGTCAGAGTCAAGTCAGGCGCGCGCGCGCTCACTCGCTCTCCACTTCTCCACGGTCGCGAGACACCCCCCCCCCCCCCCCGCGCTCTCCACCAATAGAAGACAACAAACACCTGCCAGCCGCTTCCCTGGCGCGCGACCGACCTCCCTAACGGTCGCGGGACCCGAGGCCACGCCCCCTTTCTTTCTCAGCATAAACAATGTCCAGGGAAGGCGGAAGTCCAAGTCCAACAACGCACCTTCCCCACCTGTCCCTTATAGAGCAGGCCTGGGCCAACTTGGGCCCTCTCTCCAGGTGTTTTGGACTTCAACTCCCGCCATTCCTAACAGCCTCATTCCCTTTCCTTTTCCCCCTCAGCCCCTTAAGAGTCAGGTCCTTTCCTTTTCCCCTGCTTAAGTGGCTGAGGGGAGAAAAGGAAAGGATTCATCACTGATGTTTGAAGCTCAGGCGTGGGTGGTGGCTGGGAGGGCCTTTGCACAATTAAGACTCGTGCGCCAACTGCGACTGTACCTCGTGAAGGCGGATCTGGCCGGGGTGGTCCATGTCTTGATCACCTCTAGTTTGGACTACTGTAATGCGCTCTACGTGCCTTCTCGGTGGTGGCCCCTCGGCTGTGGAATGCCCTACCTGCAGACATCAGACAGGGCCCTTCGCTGTTGGCATTTCGGAGGAAGGTGAAGACCTGGCTTTCGAACAAGCGTTTGGCTAATCAGTGCAATGGAATATAGGAACACGGTGCAATCGAACATAGGAATATGGAACAAAGGATTACGAGAATGGATTCTGATTTGTTGAGGCGCTATGATAATGATTGTTTATTGATATTGATTGTTATGTATAATTTATATTGTGTTTTAATTTGCCTATGATACTGTCTTGTGACAATTTGTATTATGTAAACCGCTTTGAGTCGCCTAAGGGCTGAGAAAAGCGGTATAGAAATAAAGTAAATAATAAATAACTACGTGGGGCTGCCCTTGAAAACGGCCCGGAAATTCCAGGTGGTACAGCGGTCAGCGGTCAGGCTGTTAACTGGTGCTCCTTACAGGGAGAGGTCAACCCTCCTGTTTAAGGAGCTCCATTGGCTGCCATTTATCTTCCAGGCCCAATTCAAGGTGCAGGTGCTTACCTACAAAGCCCTAAACAATTTGGGACCCAACTATCTTCGTAATCGCATTTCTGTATACAAACCCACACATTCTTCGTTCATCTGGAGAGGCCCTGCTCACAATCCTACCTGCTTCACAGGCGCGATTGGTGGGAACGAGGGACAGGGCCTTCTCAGTGGTGGCCCCGCGACTCTGGAACTCCCTCCCTAGGGACATCAGACAGGCCCAGGCATGTAGCCGGGGGGGGGGGGGCTTGAGGGGCTTCAGCCCCCCCCCCGAAATTCTCGTGGTGGTTCATGAAAAGGCCTTACTGGTGCATTATTTAAACTGTTATGTTTATTCATATCATGATCTGATCACCATACTCAATATATCCCATATGCATGGGGGTATTGGGGTAATGATACAAAAGGTTTGCTAGGGTAGACCCTCTTTCACTCAGACTCAGCCCCACCCCCCCCCCCCCCAACTCAGCCCCCCCCCCCCCCCCGAATCGAAATCCTGGCTACGGGCCTGGACAGTCCCCAACACTGGCAGTCTTTAGAAGAAGCTTGAAAACATGGATGTTCCAGTGTGCCTTGCTGGAATAAGGAATCTTTAGCAATGTGTCCTTAATGCACTTTATGAGTGATTTAGAATTGTCTGCATGTCTACCTATCCCAAAAACACTTCTCCTATCTCCCTTGAACTCCCCAGTTTTTAACTTTAAATGTTCACATTTGGCCCTCCCTCATGTTTTAAAATGTGTAGTGTTATTATTGTATTTTTTGCTTTTATAAGTTATTCATTGTTTCGTTGTGGTTGTTTTGTGATGTTGTGGGGCTTGGCCTCTTGTAAGCTGCACCGAGTCCTGCGGGAGATGGTAGCGGGGTATAAGAACAATAAATAAATAAAAATAAATAAAAAAGGAAGGTGTTGTTTATTCGTTTAGTTGCTTCCGACTCTTCATGACCTCGTGGACCAGCCCACACCAGAGCTACGTGTCGGCCGTCACCACCCCCAGCTCCTTCAAGGTCAGTCCAGTAGCTCCTCCAGAGTCAAGCCAGTCACTTCAAGGATCCCATCCATCTTGCCCTTGGTCGGCCCCTCTTTCTTTTTCCTTCCATTTTTCCCACTATCATTGTCTTCTCTAAGCTTTCCTGTCTTCTCATGATGTGGTCAAAGTACAGGGTGAGGCAGCATAACTTCCTTTTTTCAAAACTTAATAAAGCCCATTGTATGAATCAGGGTTTTTTTAATAATATAGGCGTATACCTAAAGTTTTGTTTTATGTCATTTTGAAGGTCAAATTAGGTAGGTGACGTCAGGTCCCGAAATTTTTCAGGTTAAAAAAAATAAACATAGTTTACCAAATCCCCATGCTAAGTCTATGAGATGCAAAAAATTACGAGTCCCTCCAGAACTGCAAGCACTATCTCAAGCAAATATTGACAATTTATTCACACTGTTATTACTTGCAGCAATAGCCGATGTAGCGAAGCAACCAAGTTGCCCCCCCCCAACTTGGTTGCTTCGCTACATCGGCTATTGCTGCAAGTAATGACAGTAATGTTGAATGCTCTTATTAAGGAGGCCAGACTTGGTGGAGGTGGTTGACAGGGATGGAGCTGCAGGCTATTGAAGGTTGCTCTGCCCCCTGCTGTGCTCTTTGCTTCAGCATGAGCTAGGAGACAGGTTTCAACCCCCCCCCCTGAAATTTTCAACCCTCCCCGAATTTTTTTTTTTTACGGCCCTGGGTGACGTCCCCATTCTCCATACACTGAGTAAACCGATTTCTGGCATTTGTCATGACTCTTGCCAGCATAGCAGGTGTTATGTTGGCAATTTCTTTCTGGATTGTTGGTCTTCAAATTTTGTAGAGTCTTTGGACGGTTCACATAAACACGGGATTTCAAAAAAACCCATGGAAAAAAAATCACAAGGGGCGGACCGGCCACTCCAAATCCACTCGAAAAGAGGCTTCAATGGCAAAAGCACGCTCCTCACTGTTCCAAAGCATGATGGCGACTGAACTGTGTCAGGACAAAACTTTATACTCCTGCCTCTCAAACGAGACCACTAGCGCTCCGCTACGTTTTCAACCGACTGAATGGTGCGCATTTTAAAAAAGGAAGTTATGCTGCCTCACCCTGTACTTCATCTTTGCCTCTAATATTTCCTGAAGTATGGACTGGTTGGATCTTCTCGCGGTCCAAGGCACTCTCAGAATTTTCCTCCACCACTGTTCAAAAGCGTTTATCTTCCTTCACTCAGCCTTCCTTGTGGTCCAACTCTCACATCCATAGGTTACTACGATGTTAGGGCCTTCTCAGCAGTGGCCCCCACCCCCGCCTATGGAACGTCCTCCCTAGAGATATCAGATTGGCCACCTCCCTCTTGTCTTTTAGAAGGAAAATCAAGACCTGGTTATGGAACCAAGCGGTTGATCAGTGAGCAACAAGTGGACGAAGATCACACAACTTATGGCAATAAATTGACCCAGACTGGTTTTTGGATTTCGATTTTAATGGATGTGTCTTAATTAATTGTTTTAATTGTTGTTTAAATTTTTAATATTTTGATTGTACTGTGGTTGTTTTTATGATGCTAGCATTGTATGATGCTTTTGTTAGGCCGCCCTGAGTCCCCCTTCGGGGGGGAGAAGGGTGGGTTATAACTATAGGAAATAAATAAAATAAATACAGGGGATACCACTGCTTTGACTATGAGGATCTTCGTTGCCAGTGTGATGTCTCTACTCTTCACTATTTTATCAAAATTGGTCATTGTTAGGAATGGTGAGAGTTGAAGTCCAAAACACCTGGAGGAAGGGCCCATGTTGACCCAGGCCTGTTATAGAGCTTTCCTCCCTCTTCAGTTGACACCCTTTCACTAATGATCTCAGGAATGCTGTAGAATGACAAGCTCAGATTAATTATTAGCCTAGCTCTGTTAAAGGAAAAATAGGTCTTTGAGGTTTGTACAGGCAGTCTTTGAGTTACAAACATCCGATTTACAAACAACACATAGTTAAGAACAGGGTGAGAGAAATCTATCCCTAGGAAGGGAACTTAACTCCCAGAAGAGTTATTATCATGGGGAAAAGGGGTCTTCACTGAAGCTTTATCACCAATCCTTGTTTCTGTTAGAAGTCAACTCCACACTGCTCAAGTCTGAATTCCTCAATGAGGAACAGTTAGCATTAGAATAGGCTGCGGGAATCTCTCCCCCCCCCCCTCCTGAATGTCAATTGGAATGTATCTATTTGTTCTCTCCCTCCCTCTCCTTTCCTCTCCTCCCATCCTGATTGGTGGTGTATACTTGATACTCTTCAGGTTGCATGCCTTTAAGACTTCTATTTTTTTCTTCTTTGCATTCATACTTTTCTTTGTATAAAGAGATGTAGTGTTTAGAGGTTTTTTCTCTTGTTTTGGAATTTAGAACTTAAAATCTAGATTATACTAGACCCCTTCCTAT